CTTTTGAAGCCTGGTGGGACGCCTCTGCACCCGACCAATACAAGCCACTGCATCTCAAGCCTGCCATCGGCTGCCCACCAGAGCTAGAGCTCCCACGACCACTGCTCCACCACCTGCTCGCGGCACGGTCTCGTCACGGAGACTTTGCCGACTACCACGAGAGATTCAACCACGACGACGCGCGGCTAACATGTTCATGTGGCCGACGAAAAGAACCGAGTCATCTCTTCTATTGCCGAAAGATCCTGCCGCGACATCGGATGAGGCTGGCCCCCTCACCGACTGCGGCAGTCAATCGTGCAATAGGCAGAGACTTCGACAAGTTCGTCAAGCTGGCGAAGGCAAGCTCGTTCTTCGAATGGGCGTGTCCTCGCCACTAGGCGGATGGTGTCCTCTCTCTTTACTTTCCTTTGTTGCTTCTTACTTCTGCGACCCGTCCAGGCGGAGGGTGTGTCAGCACCCTTTGCCCGCCCGGGTCAATTGAGGCTGCTCCCGCAGCCTCCGACGATGGCTTCTTTCGAGGCCAGTAGAATACGGCACTTGGATGCCGCGCTTGGACGACCCGCTGACGGGCACCGAGCACGAATTGGAGCGCCTCAGAGCCGATGAAATGCTGGATGGTGGTTTGTTTACTTTTCGCGATGGGAAAATGAGGGGGCACGAGGGGGTAATCTCTGAGAGGCCCACCAGAACCTGTATCGATAACGTAGGATAGACCCACTAGCTCAGCACGTCCTGTGCCCCATTGGGACCTGAGCGGCCTCGCGGCCGCTGGACGGAAAATACACTACTACTACTACTACTAAAGCGATCGCTCTTCATTTCTACCGTCTTTCGAGGCATAATTGGTGAGGCTTATGCTGTTCTATGTTTTGCCCTGTTTCTTCACGTTTGATTGACTTTCGCAGGCGGACGACGCGTTGGGTATTGCCATCCGTGAACCGGCGCCGTGGGAGCGGCGAATGAAGCTATTACGGCTCGCTCTAGGTGTTAGTCCCACGCGTGAGCATCAGGATGGAAGCTCTCTACATGCAGCACAGGACGCGATGCCCGATTATCCATGGAAGTCACAAGGTGCTTGCGACTCAATCCATGTCCGTCGACCTGCTCGTCTTGTGCTGCCGTGCCAGTCTCCGACCTCACCCCCCTCGAGGTCTCAGACGAGGTGCTACGAGGCCTCACAACAAGACCACCGGTTTAACAGCGGACACCAAGGAACGTAGACCAGCCCCCAAAGGAAAGGAATACATTATAAGGGTACCAGAAGGTTCCCGAAGACATCCCCTCAGTCGTGGTCTGCGGATCTGCACTCCTTCGCCAGGTCAGCCCGAACAAATACCACGTGTACGACGGCGATGCATTTGCGAGAGATGAGCATCCCCCATCTCGTGCCACCTGTTTGCTGGCACTCAATGCGACGAAACCTGTGGTCGCGCCTGTTCAACGACAATGACACAAACACGCGGGCCGCGCCCTTGGTCCGCGCCTCTGCCAATAGTGCTTAGAGTAGTACAGGCAAAACCTGCAAAACACCTCTATATGCCCAAACGCAAGAGCCTGGCCATTTTCTTTCATTTTCGCCAGCAAGTTGAATGAAGGCAACTTTGACGCGGGAAGCTTCGTCTGTGTGCGACGTCCAGACCGTGTGGCACCTTGTTGGGGTCTCGCGTGGTGATATCTCCATGGAGCTTCACGTCTGGATGCTGGGGCTTGACCAGACGCTCGCGTAAACCACCAGATATTGATCACCGCCGGCAAAGAACTATAGACCAAGCACGTTTTGTTTGAAGGCGAGCAGCAAGTGGAATGCAAAGGACCAACCGGTCACTAGCTGCACGCGACTATGCGATGCTCATCCAGCAGTTACAGCGCGGACTGTCCTCATCCCCTCTCCATCCTCTATAGACACTCCTTCGCCACGACCTGATCGACGGGGATACGGGCCAGACGAACTTCCTGCCTGCAAACACCTACCTATCTTGCTCGTTCAGTGGGCGCCGAAATTCCCGCTCGCTTCTCCCTGTCTTTCATCTGATCTCCTCCATCAGCCCAGCATCCGCCGCACACAGGCGGCACCCCCTTTCCGCACCGCCAGTCGAGCCCAGCCCCAAGTCCGGTCCTGTTCAGTCCCCCCCCCCAGCCGGGCAGCATCAGGCCATGATTCACAGCTGCCTGGAAAACTCTGCCAGCTGCCTGCACCAGCTCTCCCACCTGTTTTCCCTTACTTTGCCTGTTCCCCCGTTCCCCGCCCTCTCTCGCGATCTTGAACCAAAACACCACCACCACACTCGTTTCCGCCAGCACCCCCCGACGCCTCGTTACCACACACACTTTCCGCTCGTTATCCCCCACGATAAGTCACAAATTCGGTGCACTCAAGCACTGTAACCATCATCCTCAAAGAGGCGGTACGTACGCGTGTTTCCCTGTTCCCTTCGCAGTCTGTCCCACCGGCGCGCCGGCTGTCTCGCAGGTGGCACATGGCACGAAGACGGCCCTGGCAAACCACCCAAAATCTTCCTTCCCTCTCCCCAACTCGCACTTTTCGTTTGACGCCCCTACCTGAGACGTCGGCTCACTGACGTTTTTTTCTCGACAGCATTCGCACTCTTTTGTTACCAAAAACAACAACAACAGCACACCGCCTCAAGTTCGTTCTTTCAAACGCGTTTCTCCCAAGTACGTGACGCCCACTCCCCCAAAGTCACCTTGATGCTTGTCACCGTTTGATTTCTTCTCTGCTGACGATCGAAACCAAAAACAGTGGCAAGTATGAAAGGTTATGATTTCGAGCGTGTCGGAGGCGGCGATGGCGGCGGCGGCGAGCGTCTCGTCGCCACCGCGCGCCCCTCCCGCAAGAAAGTTGGCCTCTGCCTGGTCAAGAAGTTCTTCTACGGAGGCGTTCTCCTCGTTGGCCTCGTGGCCTTTGTCATTGGAACCGCGGTGTTTGCCGCCCACTGCAGTACGTGAAAAATCCCCTTCTTGATTTTGTGGTGAGGGTTTGTGCTGGGCTGACTGAACATGAGCAGAGGGAAATGTGAATCCCGACGCGGAGCTCATCCACGCTGAGCAGGTCGTTTCTGAGGCTGCTCACGAGCTTGCTCTCCGCGGCGAGACTACCGAGTCTGGCATTCAGTTTGATTCTCACGGTCATGTCGTTACTACCCAGCTCGCTGGCTCGTCTGGTCTCGGCACCGTCTCTACCGTGCGGACCAGTGGCACTGCTGGTACCATCGGTTACAGCGCCTCGGCGACTGCCACTGCCACCTCTGCCAAGAGCGAGGAGGCGCCCGTCGGCGTCAGCATCCCGGTCTCGTAAGTTTCAGTCAAACTCCCAGAACCAGACGTGAACTGTGCTGACGCGGAGCCAGGACCATGACGGCCGTTTCGACCATCTACAGCATTCGCACGACCAAGGAGACGACGACCGTCCTGGCTGGTACCACCAGCCTGACCACGTCTGTGGCCGTCTCGGACTCGGTTCAGCCGACCGGTTGCTCCACGGGCCATGCCACGACCACCATGACCGTCTACATCACCGTCTCGCCCCTCGAGGAGGTTACCGTCACGGAGACCGCCTCGACGGCCACGGCGTACAGCACCGACGTGTCATACACAAACGGCCTCCCGGAAGTCACCATCACGCACATCATGTCCACCTACACCGCCGTCCTCACTCACGTGTCCCTCACCAGCGGGCTCCCTGACGTGACGATCTCGGGCGGCCCCAAGACGGAGACGGACACGCAGACTGTCGTCTCGTACACGAGCGGCCTGCCGGATGCCACCGTTTCGGGAGCGGCTTCGAGCGTCACCGACGTCAAGGCCAGCACTGCATCGGCCTCAGGCTCTGAGACCATCACCGTTACCATCACGGACCTTTGGGGCAGCGTCTCCCCGCCTGGCAGCACCCCCCTGACCACGGTGACGGGCACGGCTACCACCCGAAAGACAGTGACGGAGACCCGGACCTTGACTCACAAGCCCAGCTTGGAGATCATCACCGTCACGATCACGGACCTCTACAACGAACCCAAGCCGACGGCTAGCACCGCCAGCTCTAGCACGAGCACCACCACCGGCGTGACTGCCTACTCCTCCATGCTCGGCGCAGTCAACACCGCATCCACCTCGCCCGCGCCCGCAATCGTCACCGTCTCCGTGACCCAGACCGTCACCGAGATCGAGACGGCTGGCGGCGCCGCATCCTCAGCCTCCTCCACTCTCATCACCGTCCCCGTGCCGGCCACCAGCAGCACCGGATATACAAACGCCACCGCGAGCAGCACCGGCTTCCCGACCTTCACGCCCCCCGTCGTCGTCTCCGAGGGCGCCAAGAAGCCCAAGCCCCACGGCTGGGGCAACTCCAACGGCTCCGGATACATGGGTTGCGCGGTGATGTTCGTCGCGGTCGCCATGTGTCTCCTCTGAGCACGCAAGCACGTAACCACCTAGACGGTTGGACTGTATTTCTCTTTGCGATCATTTGTGGCGGTCGCCTGGTTGCAAGGGGACAGGAATTGTGGTTTTCTGGCAGGGCTTATGACGACTGGGTTTAAAATTCCCTTTCCTTTTCTTTAATAATCAGCCCCCCGGGTCGTGTGTGACTTTTCTCTTTTCATACGCCCGCGTGGGTCTTTCGTAATAATGAGTGGTACAGTTGACGAGAGTATGGGAAGATGGGATGGATATAGGGAGAAGCCTTCAGAGAGAGGCATAGTTGAGCTTCTCATAGAGGCCATGAACAGAGAAACAAGACATCACTTGATCCGAGCGCCCTTGAGAAGGTCTTGCGTGACGGCATTCATGCTGCGTCGTGTGTATTATCCAGTAGGCGGGATGCGGAGGATACGCGATGGCATGATGACACAAAGACACAGACCGCAAACCTCTCTGGCACGACATGCCTTTGATCAAACCATCCGGTCATGTTCTACGTGCTTGAAGTGTGTGAAGCAGCTTTTCAAACGCTGTTGCATTCAACCAAATCCTAATCAGACAACCGCCCCCTTCGCCCAGAGAAAACGACAGCTGAGAAGCTCCTCTGCCCCAGTAGTAGTAAGTAAACATGATCCGTAGCCAAGCCGCGATGCGACGCTGTTCTAACTGTGCGACCGAACCCGCCGTAAACGCCTGTCCCTATCCAACCGAACCGACCGACCGACCCCCCGTCCCCGTTGCGACGCCGTGCAAAGCCAAGCCCAGTTCGCCCTGTCCTCACTCTCCTTCCCTCTCTCCAGTCTGCGCGTCTACACGCGAAGCGATCGCGTCCCCTGGTGCACGACGGAGACGCTGAGACGTCCCGGTTCAAACTGGGACCACCATCGCGCCGTCTGCTCGTCTCGCCACACCGAGACCCTACGCGCCCGCGGCGCCGCGGCCGTTACGCCGACTGCCCCAGGCACAGGAGGGGACTAACGCCCTCGCTTGGCGTCCTGCTCGGCCGCCTGGCGGGCCTTCCAGCTGTCGCGGATGGTGCTCGCGGCGCGGAGGAGGTCCTGGTCGCACACGCGGTCGTTGATGCTCTCGAGCACGCTCGTCACCGTGCTCTTGTGGTTCGCCTCGCTCTTGTCGTCCCTGAAGCGGATCATGCGCCATCGGCCCTCGTCGTCCAGGTTGCACTCGATGACGCGGTCGTTGAGCGGATCGCCCAGGCTCTTGAGGATCTCCCATTCCTCCTCTGTCAAGTGGAGGTCGTTGAAGGCCTCGTAGCGCTCCGGCCCGCTGTCGCCCCGGAAGACCAGCAGCTCCGCATGCGGTACGCTGTCGTAGTCGATAAAGGGCTCCAGGATGCCCTCGCGCCGCTCCTCCTCATCCGGCTCGACGAGCGGGAAGTGGAGCTTGAGGCGAAAGTCGATGGTGTTCTCTTCGGGAGGCTTCCATTTAAGAATGTGCGGGTCCGTGCCGTGCTTGTACGGCGTGTTGCGACACGTGAAGATGAGTCCGTCGTTGCCGTGCTTGAGGCCGGGCAGCACCTGCTTGAACATCATCTCGATGCCGTAGCCCAATTGGAACGGCTTCATCTCCACGAAGAAGGGTTGGTAGCGCAGCTCGTCGGGAAAGTCCTTGAAGAGCTTCTTATACGGCGTGTACAGGCGCTCCTTGAAGTAGGCGAGCCGCTTGTCGAGCGTGCGGTCCATCAGCTTGTTGCCGTCCATAACGAGGCAGTCGAAGACGAGAAACCGGGGCTCCTTCTTGCCGCTGGGCAGGCTGTCCCAGACGAGCTCGCCGTCTATGAGAGTCGCCGAGTGAAAGGCCGAGGCGTCGCTCTCGAGCGGGAAGTGGAGGTTTCGGTTGGTGATGAACCAGTAGTCGTTTTTGCGGTCAATGAGATAGTGAACCTCGGCGCCGGCCTCGTCTTCGGTCGAGTACAGGAGGTAGCGGATGCCGTCCGACTTTTCGCAGACGTAGTAGCTGTCGTGAGTCCTTGGTCAGCAAACACGCGTCCCTCGCGCTCTCCCGACAGCGTAAAAGCTTACTCTTGCTTGGTGAGCTCGTCGAGGTGCTTCCGCGCAAAGCTGACGGGCTGCGCGCCGGGGAAGCCCGTCTGGTGCCGGCCCAGCAGCTCGGCCACCTCTCTGCGCATTGTGAAGAGCAGCTGGCCCTCTGCCCGGACACCGGGCTCGGAGATGGAGGCGATCTGGTCGCCCTCGAGCGGATCCATGGCTGGCTGTGATGGGGTGCTCGTTGGCGGAGCGAGGTGCGGTAGGTAGGCGAGGGAACGATGCGCCCGCGTGGGCGTGCTCGGCTCGCGGGCGATGGGTGCAATGGGTGCAGAGTCAGATTGATGCTGGATACGGTCGTGATCGTTGCAAGAGGCCACCATGCGCCGGCATCACAAGGGCACGGCGCGTGGGGAGAGTGCATGGGACGAGGATGTTTGTAGAGGCTGCGACATTGTCGAGGCGCGACCGTCGCTGCCTTTTGTTCGCAAGCCAACCTTATCGATAAGTCAGTTTCCCCCTGCCCCAGCTCTAGACTCCCGCCCCTGCTGCAGCGCAGTAAACTCGACTGGGCAGCAAACTCTCTTTAAGGTACTCTCACTTTGGCCGAACGACGCCATGGCGAGTCATCAGCAAACCTCAATAGCCCGTGCCGCCATGCGCGTCCTCTTTAGCGTTTCATTTCAGCATTAGAAGGAAGTTTTGCTCTACAACATGCTGTGGCCGCGCAACACGCGCGACGCGGCGCGTCTCGACGCACCACTAACTTACTACAGAGTCAACACCACCGCGCGGAGCCTGCCCGTTCGCAAGAAGCTTCACCAACTTGATTGTCGCTCCGCCCCCAACCTTCCAAAGCAACCTCCCAAAGCCGGCTGCCACAAATGACCCATCTGACTTCATCCCCCGAGCAGGGTTTGCCCCGACGCCGGCCTAGGTTTCCTCTATCTTGTCAACTTCCGCCCGCGCCTCTTCCCATTGCTGCCTGCTCTTCTTAGCCCACTCAATCTGGCTCTTAGCGTACGCAAGCTGGCGGGATGTTAGCTATTGCCACTGCAGCTAAGGCACAATTGGGGAGCGACGGGAGTTAGACTCACCATGTACCGCCGCACGTCGTCTTCCTTGTCCTTTTGGAATCTCTTCATGTCCTTGAGGACGCTGGCGCTCGCCTCCTTGACATCCCGCTCCGACGCGACCTGCGCCTGCTCCAGCTGCCCGATTGATTCCCTCGTCTTGCCGATTGCATCCCGACGTGTGCGCTCGGGGTCGACGTCAACGACGCCTTGGACCGCGTGGCGGATGGGCCCGAATATCTTGTTAGTAATTGAGTTTCCGCTTGGCATCTTCCTGTGCGTCACGCTCGCGCTCCGCTCCGGCAGCCCCTGGCTCGCAGACGGCGGCGGCGGCGAGAAGTCGCCGTGGGTCGGGGGGAAGTCGGAATCGATGGACTCGGTATCCTCTTGGCCTCCCTCGCGCCGGTGCTGCGACGCTGGCTCCTTGAGGCTGGCTGAGCGCTTGGGCGGCGGAGAGATCTGCTGGCTGCTTGAGAGGTACTGCTCGATACGCCTGGCCTCGGCCTCGCTGCGCTCTAGCTGGTCCAGGAGTGCTCTCTTCTTGTTCAGCTCTTCCGTCGTCAGGTCTTGCTGAACGCGCTTGAGCACCCTGTACCTCAGGACGCTTCTCACGACGCCGGCAAATTGCGCATTTTCCCTCATCGGCTCGGCGAAGCTGGCGCCCAAGGACCCCGAGAGCTCCTCAGTGGCGATGTAAGACAAGTCGGCTGCCTGACCGACCTTCTCAATGGCCGGGCCGAGGGAGGGGGCTTGCTCCGACAGAGCAAATGCGTTGTATCTGGACCCCAACTCACACAGGTCTGCCGCGAGCGAAGACAGGTGGCTAAGGGTCCGGCGGTTGACCTTTTCCATGGGGCCCATCAGAAGCTGCTCCAATTCCTTAATTGACGCTTCGTAGGCAATAAAGTACGGGTCAAGCTCTTGCTCGCTCTGATGTCCTGACTCGGGTGGGAATCGCCCGAGAACGTTGGCGCCGGGCTGGAGCGACGGCGCCGAGTTCACGTCTCCAGCCGTCGTCTTGAGCTTAGCGGAGCTCGCTGGTACGGGCAAGTAGTTGTGCGCGGGCGTGGGGTTCGCAGTGTCCAACGGGGGCGCCTTGAGCACCGATTTCGGGATAGACGATACGGGATGGGAGTGGAGGACTTCGCTCTGTACGACGTTAGAACCTTGACACGTAAGCGCTGAGTTGATCAATGACACTACCCACCCAGCTCGCGTTGGGATCCAGAAACCTCCACCAGACGCCGTCGTTCCTTACCGCCTCCATCCGGCGACAGCGGTTGAGGAAGACGGCCAGCATGCGCTTTCGCAGGTCGATGATCTGCTGATCTTGCTTGGCGCTCGTGGGTTTGGCAGCATAGTCGGCCATGGTGTGCTTCTCCGGTATTGGGGGAATGATGAGAGTCGGGTGCAGACGGGTCAGGGCGTCGCGGAGAGACGCAAACTCGGAGTATCGACGTCGCACTTCGAGGTCCTGTGGCCTCCCATTAGCTAACGGCAGCCGCGGATGAGACTTGCGAGGGAGCATACCCCAGTTCGGATGGTATAGACAATGTATCTGCCGCCACTCTCGAGGCTCTTTCCAGCGTCGGTAATCATGATGGGCATATCGGGGTTCTCGTAGAGTATCTGCTCTATGCGGCTGTTGTAGCCGCCCGGCTTCCGCCGAGGCGCTGGCTCCTCTTCCACAACAACCTCATGGGGACTCTCCGCAGACGTGGCGCCATGCCCGAATGCCGGCTGGTCATCGTCGCTCCCGGAGGTCGGGGTGTGGGGTGCGTCAAAAGAACGATCTTGGTCGCGGTGTCAGTATCGTCTTGGTAACAGCAGCAGCAGAGCCGCCGACTACACATGGAGTTGCAGCGGGAATTGAGACTCACACTCTCGGGAAGTCGGCGACGTCGGATTTGCCGACGACGAGGTGGTCGAGTCGCGGCGGTCGAAGCTGGTCCCGTACGGGTTGTTGTCCTCGTCGTTCCACATGATGGCGGGGCTTCGGGCCGCGCAGAGTCGACGGCACGGGGAAAGCGACCGGCAGCGGTGTTGCGCTTGGGTGCAGGCGAGGAACGGGAGGCGGGTCGGCTCCAAGACGGAGAAGCTCGACGATTCGGGGCCGCTGGTGCCGGGTGTCGCGGGGTTGGGATTACGGCGCGCGCAGGTCCGCGCCACTAGCTGCGATGACGGATTGATGAGACGATGGGATGATGGGGCGTCACGGCGAGGAGTGCGCGGCGGGGGCTGTCGCCATTCTCCGAGGGCAGAGCAGAGGCGTGGCGGGCGAGATGCTGAGGCGAGGGATGACGACGTAATGGGACTGTGCAGGTGGAAGCAGAGAGGCCGGGTGGTACTGGGATGGGATGCCGGGGTAGCTTATGTGGCCGGCTGGAGTCGTCGTCGACGGCCGCCGCCTTGGTGGAGGTCACTGGTTGCGCCGCACTGGACTGGATGCGCAGTGGGCGGGCGGGCTGTCTAGGCTTCCAGTTGCCGGCGGGCGCGCGCTGAGGTGGGCTGGGCAGGGCACTTGCTGAAGGTACGAACGCGGGATAGGTACTTGCGCCCTGTGCTCCGAAGCTCCGGATCTGGCTGGCGCGCGGGTGCGCCAGAGGTACCTACCCAAGGGAGGTGCGGTACCTTAGCTCGGTGCAGCTTTGGTGGCCAGCCGCGAGCTGTGCGCCAGTTGGCACCGGCCAGTGGAGGCAGGCAGGCACCTCAGCTCACCAGGCGCTGGCAGCAGCAGGGGCGACCGGAGCCGATGACGACGATGCTGGGACGCACGGACCACATCCTTGGCCCCGTCAGCCACAGACGTCTCGACGCACTAGCCACAGATGCCTCGTGTACCGCCCAGGCAAATAGCCAGCTGTGAAACCAAGACTCGACGCCAACTTCAGGACAATATTCTGCCCATGGCACCGTTGGGCCAACACCGTAACTGAATGCGATCTCGTATTCCGCGTTTGGCTATCTCCTTCGTCTAGTCCTTCTTGAAAATGCGCTTCAGAAATGATTTACCAGCTTGAGCCGGGACATTGTCAACCCTTGGTTTCACCTCCATGCCACGGACCCTCCACAGCAGCCCCAGCAAGCTGGCAACGACCATCTCTTCTGTCAAAGATGTGTCGCCGGACTTGACCTCTGGCAGAAGCAAGACACCTTCGCTGCTTGCGGTGGACAAGGAAGGACCCGAGCCTATCTGATGATACACCGCTCTGATGCTGTCTTCCGCTGGCGTGAGGTCCTCGTCGCCCTCAGAGGGATCGGCAACGAGAGTGTATCTCAGCGGACCGGTTTCTAGCGGGTGAATCTGCCACTGCAGTTTCTCTGAACCGTCGCGGGAAGGCAACGCGTAGAACGGGTGGCGAGCAGTTCCGACGCTGGAGGTTGTGTCTTCGACGGGGAACGAGGCCACTGCATGCACCTGCTCGTCCGCAACGAGTTCAAAGTCGTCAGTTGCGTGTGGCAGAGAGCTATTCCTCTTATTAGCTGCTCACGGCCAAACTGGCTGTTTCGAAATACTAACATTTTCACAGCCTGTTCTGCATTGCCCGGTGGGCACCGCTGCAAGGTCGCCGAAGCCTCCGTATCGCCGACTACAGCGTCGAAGGCGTACTGCACCTTGCTCCCCTCCGCGCCAGCCGTCGGCTTGTTCATAGTCCCCAGCCGTGTCATGAACAACCGGCTGCCCATGACCGCGTCACCTATGATCTCGCTTCCGCCCATCGGGGCGTGGCCAATGACATGCTTGTACCCGGCGCTAACGTCGTGGATCGAGACATGAAGCTCGGAGCTGGAGTGGACGGGGATGTACAGGACCCGAGACAGGCGAGCAGGCGGTTTGGTCGGCTTCCGAGCAAGACCGCTGTCGAAGCTGGCGCCCCGGCTCCGCTCGCTCTGCCGTGCCGAACTCAGCGCCTGGATGCCTAGCGCTCCTGAAAGCTCGGCCATCCTTTTGACTTGGTTCTGAAGTGAAGTCGAGGTTGTTGTATGACTAGGCAATTTCAGGACGAAAGTGAACAGTGTCTGCCAGCAATGCGTCTATTTATTGTCGCCGCAAGGTCTCACGCAGAGTAACATTGACGATGCCCAGCCGCACCGTGAAATTAGACACGGCACGATAGGCAACCCACATCGCACGGCGTCACCTGCTCATTGAAATACCCAACAGTGCGGGGACAGCCAAGCCTGAACCAATGCTGGAGATCAAGAGCCCATGCCAAGCCATTGAACGCTGTATACGAAGCAGAAGGCCCGATAGTATTTCTTCTTGTCCAGTTCCGTAACACATGAGTACAGGACTCGGAGCCCATTGCTTGGAGAGATCTCACGCTTGCCTCCCAGCGTCCCATGCTTCGTTGCCCCACTTCGACCGCCTTGGCAAAAGACCATTCTGCGGCTCTGTCAAGAAGCGTACATAATAGGGAGGCAGCAATGTGCTGTTGGCTCAGTTGTGCAGAAGTTGACCCTCTGGAAACGCTGGAGGCTAATCTTCGCGTGGGCACGTTGTACAAAGTTCAACCCTGTCACCAGCCAACGCATAAGCGCATGACTCTTGATCTGTCTGTTGGATGAAGTGAGGCTTCTATCCCAAACCTGAAGTCACCATAAAAATGAGTTTGGGTTTTCAGAGCCGCAGCTACCAGGGAAGTTACTACATGCCTGTTCTTCTCCACACGATCAAGGCCCTACTGCACCGTGTAGCTTCCCACTTCTTTTAAAGATTATAGTCTTGAAAAATGCTGACTCCGCAGCTTCAAAGATCAGCCTCATCCCAGGGCAATGCCCCTCTTGTCTGTTATGTCAGGCGCTGCACCCCCCAGGGTTTCACGGTCCAACCGCCGCCTGAAGTCTTGGCAGTCGGACCTGCAGTCCAGCGGCGACTCAAGCCCAGAGAGCGACGACGTCGACGGAATCCAATGGCTGGCGTAGGGCCCTCCTAGCACCAACGTCAGTCTGCGGTTTCACTGTTCCCAGGGTGCTTGTGTGGTACCGAGGTGCCCGGCGAGAGGGGAAGGTGGATCAAGCATTTCGTAGTCGTCGCTATGGACCGTGGCAACATTTGTCTGCAGGGAATTGCCATCTGTATCTGGTACAGCGTCCGAGCTTGATTGAGGCTCTACCGGAGGAGGAGAGGGCTCGCGGCGTGCTTCTACGTTGTTCGTCTCGTGCGTGGTCGAACGCGAGCTCCGACGACTGGCATCGTTCTCTGGCCCTGTTGACCGTACTGGTGTGCCGGGGGCAGTTGAGCTGGCGACGGTCGAGGCTGTCCCCACTGGCATACGAAGTACTCGGCCCAGTCTCTGGAACCAGTTTGGGTGTCTTGGTCGGCGAAGGCTCTCCGGGGGCGAGACGTCGGTGTGGGCTCGTGCGCCAGAAGTCGCTCTTTCCACCCGTATCGATGCCGAGGCCTGCCCGTGTGACTGATAGGGTGCTGGTTGAGCCGGAGCAGGGGCGTACATTATCATAGGCGGCACCGGAGCGTACGGTCGTGGCGTTGCGGCCAGCGACACGACGCACGACTGACCCGTCTGGTCCTCGTGACGGTTCAAGTGGAACACGGCGGGATAGTAGACGACTCGAGGCGGGTACCCGGGGATGTTCTGAGCCACTGGCAAGTGCGCCAAAGCCGTGTTGTGATCGTGGCCGCGTGTTGTTCGCCTGCCGCCTGGAAGTCGAATCGTCGTGCGCTTTCGGTGAGCGAGTAGGGCACGGCCCAGACAGTACATGTAGACGAGGAGTAGCACGACCGAGAAGACGACGATGCTGACGATGGTGCCGATTTGCTGGGCCCGCGTGAGGCAATGCCAGCCAATGCACTGACTAGGCTTGCGACGCATGATGGTTGCGGCAAAGGCCATGCGCGTCGTCCGGTTGCTGTCGACGTGGAGGTCGTGGAGGACGTGGCTGCAAACGAAGATGAGACGGCGTCTCGCCCTTGGGGGCACCAAGGATCGAACAGACGTGGAAAACCTACACACAAGGCGATAAACAGAGAAATCCAATCAAAATATGGGGGGAGTGCGAATGATGGCCAAGTTCGCCCAGCAACATGAACACACAGCGTGCAGTGAATCGTCAGGCCCAGCACCGTCGAGCCACACTGTCCACGTGAACATTCTACAGCATCCGTCGTGCACCGCAAGGAGTCTTCGCCCATTCAGCGGTTATGAGACGAAATACTTTCTGCAACCTACACACACTCTTTCAGTCTTGCCGCAAAGTCGCCTACAATTGCATGCCACTCTGGCGCGTGTAAGCCGTGCCCGTGACGGTGCGCGCGTCTCCCGCGCTGAGGAGCGGCAAACGGGGTCCATTGAGGCGAACAATTTTCGTATTAGCGACTTCTTGGAACAGAAATAAAAAATAATTCATTAGCACTATTGTCGTCCATCACGTCGAAGCACACGTATTGAAAAGACGACCTCAGTCACAGACGCCCAGCAAAGGGGGTTTGCTGTGGTTGAGAAAAAAGGCCAATCAGTTGCGCCAGCTGAGACAGCCAGCACTGGGTGGGTCGGCGAGCCGCGCTCGGACCAACCACCGTCCTTCAGTCGACGCCCATTGAACTCAAGCTTGTGGCAGCGCGAGTCGCATTTCGTCGCCTCACCTCCAGCAAACGACATTTTTCTCTTCTCGTCGGCCGCCCTTCCCCCTCACACTCCGCCATCGTCGGACGGCTATGCACTCGGGCCGCTGAAGAGACCGATGCTCTCCGCGCCAACATCGATTGAGACGCATCGATAGTCTGCCCCCAGACGCGTCTTCCCATCGGCCAACGCTCGTCAGCCTTTGCGACTCTGAACAGAGTCGCTTCCCCCAGCCCGTCATGGTGGCCGCCACGAATGGCACGACAAACGGCGTGACGAATGGCGATGCCGCCGCCGCTCCCGTCAGCACTCGCTTCTCCGACATCCCCTCGGCCATCGACATCCCCGTCCAGGGTGACCAGGAGGACGAAGCCGTCGAGATCGACCTTGAAGACCTCCTCGACGACCCCACCGAGCTCTGCACTCTCTTCGAGAACGAACATGCGGCCAAGACATACTGGATGACTGTCGCGCTCGCCTACGCGAAGCAGAAGAAGATCGACCATGCCATCGAGATGCTCCTTCGCGGCGCCAGCTCCATCAGCAATAGCGGCAACCCTCGCGACAAGGTCAGCATGATCTGCTGTCTGTGCTGGATGTACCTGTGGAAAAGCCGCGAGGCACCCCGAGTCGCCCCCGATGGTATCCGCGTCTCCGAGGCCAAGACAAAGGAGTACTACCTCCAGCTCGCCACGTCTTCGCTCAACGACGCCGCTCGACTCAACCCGTCCTTCCCGCCCATCTTCCTAGCCAGAGGCGTCTTGCTCCTCCTCAGGGCCTCGCTACAGGCGCCTGCAAAGACTGCTGGCGGCATCGGCACCGAAAAGAACGAGCTTCTCAAGACGGCCGTCAAATCATTCGACGACGCCCTGCGAGTATCACAAGGAAAGAACATGCTGGCCCTCATGGGAAAAGCCCGAGCATTCTTCTCCATGCACAAGTACCCGAACGCCTTGACGGCGTACCAGGACGTGCTTCAGAAGATGCCTGACTTGGTGGATCCGGACCCGAGAATTGGCATCGGGTGCTGCTTCTGGCAGCTCGGCTTCAAGGAGGACGCCAAGGTCGCGTGGGAGAGATCGCTTGAAATCAGCCCCAACTCGACCGTCGCCAACATCCTCTTGGGCCTGTTCTACCTCGATGCCAGTGGCCACGTGCCCGTCAACAGCGACGACTTCCTGAAGCTGTACAAGAAGGCCATGACCGAGTATACCCAGAAGTCATTCAAGCTGGACAAGGAGCTACCCCTCACCTGCGCGACATTCTCTAGCTACTTCCTCTCCCGGAAAGCCTGGGACAATGCGGAGAAGCTGGCGCACAAGGCCATTCAGTACACGGACGTCAATGCCATCGCTAGTGACGGCTGGTATTTGTTGGCACGCAAGGCTCACTACAATGGCGATACCGACAAGGCGAGCGACTACTACCGTCGTGCCGATGACGCGCGAGGTGGCACAGACACGGGCTATTTACCCGCCAAGTTTGGCGTCGCGCAGTTGTCCGTCCTCAAGAACGACCTGGGTGAAGCCAAGCTGCGGCTGGAGAAGATGATTCAGCAGTCCAAGAGCCACGAGGCCATGATTCTCCTCGGCACAATCTACGCAGAGGAGATTTTTGCCAGCCAGAAGAGCGATGTCAAAGAGGACAAGTCGTCCGAGATGAAGAAGGCCATCACGCTCCTCGAAGGCGTGCGAAGCGCTTGGAAGGACCCCAAGAAGGCGCTCGCCCCGGATTCTTCCGTCTTGCTCAACTTGGCTCGCCTATACGAGACCGAGCAGCCCGACAAGGCCTTGCAGTGCTTGCAACAGGTCGAGCAACTCGAGCTGGCCCAGATCCCGGATTCAGAACGACCCGAGGCGGCCGACGACGCGGAGGCTCAGGCAGCTATAAGGAAGCTGTTGCCTCCGCAGCTCCTCAACAACATCGGCTGCTTCCACTACCAGTCGGAGAAGCACGACTTGGCCAGCGATATGTTTGAGGCAGCGTTGGGCGCCTGCATGCGGATTGGCGAGAAAGACCCTGAAATGGACACGGACGCGCTCGTCTCGACCATCAGCTTCAACCTCGGCAGGACATATGAGTCCAGAGGGTTGACTGACAAGGCCGTGGAAGTGTATGAGGGCCTGCTCGCTCGCCACGACGACTACACCGATGCCCGCACGAGACTGGCGTACATTAAGCTCAGGAGAAACCCGAACAAGGAGGGGCCCGATGCCGTGGCCAAGCTGTACCAGGAGAACACGAGCGATCTGGAAGTCCGCGCGCTGTACGGCTGGTATCTCGGCAAGGTCCACTCCCGCAAGCGACCTTCGAATATTGTCGAGGATCATGAGTTCCGACATTACAAGCACACCTTGCAAAACTACGATAAGCACGACAGGTATGCCCTAGTAGGCATGGGCAACCTGTACCTGCTGCAAGCGAGAGAGATGCGACGCGAGACGGACCAGGAGAAGCAGAAGCGCAGCGCCATCTACGGCAAGGCCGTCGAGTTCTTCGAGAAGGCTCTGTCCTTGGACCCCAAGAATGCGTATGCGGCACAGGGAGTCGCCATCGCCTTGGTAGAAGATAAGAAGGACTACAAGTCGGCACTCCCCATCTTCAATCAGGTCCGAGAGACAGTCAGAGACTCGCACATCTACGTCAACCTGGGTCATATCTACTGCGAGCTGAAGCAATACTCAAAAGCCATCGAGAACTACGAGATTGCGCTGTCCAAGGACGGCAAGGCAAACGACCCCGTGATTCTCTCCTGCCTAGGCCGAACTTGGTTGAACAGGGGACGAAGTGAGCGAGACGCGGACTCTTGCGTTAAGGCCCTTGAGTGCGCGAAAAAGGTAAAAATAACAGCACAAAGAGCGTCCGTGACACTCGGCTGACATTATCATCTAGGCTCTGGAAGTCGCCCCCGAACAAGTTCACTACAAGTTCAACGTCGCCTTCGTGCAGATCCAGCTGGTTACCACCCTGCAGGCCCTGCCGGAGAACCGGCGGACGCTGGAGCAACTCGAGCAAGCGGCGGAGGGCTTGGAGGCTGCCATCGAGTCCCTGGACAACATCGCCACGCAGCCTCAAACCCCGTACCCCAAGCACGATGTCGAGCAGCGCGCCAACATGGCCCGCAACACGCTGCGGAAGCAGCTCGAGAGAGCCATCGGCAAGCAGAAGGAGTGGGAGGAGATGAACCAGGAGAAGATCAAGGCGGCCAGGGACCAGCGAGACGCCGAGATCAAGCGCCGCGAGGCCGAGCGAGAGGCCGTGCTGGCCAAGGAGCGCGAGCGGCAGGAGAAGATCAAGAAGGAGCGAGAGGTGATCGCCGCCCGCGACCGAATGCTGGCGGAACAGCGCGCCGAGCTAAAGGCCGAGGAGCTGCGCGAGCAGCAGGCCCGCAAGGAAGCGGAGCTCACGACGGACGAGGAGACGGGCCAAAAGGTCAAGCGCAAGCGCAAGCCCAAGAAGCCGACGGAGCGGAGGGCGCGGAAGAAGGGCGAGCGCGACGACGCGGATGAGGACTCTCAGGAGGAGTCGCATACCAAGAAGAGACGCCGCCTCACCAAGAAGGAGTCGAGCAAGTACAAGTCGGCCGAGATCGTCGTCGACAGCGACGAGGACGAGGACGAGGACGCGCTTGAGCGCGCGGAGCGGAACCTGGAGAGGAGCGGCACGGTCGGCTCGGACGAGGATGAGGACGCGGGTGGCGCCGCCGCCGATAAGATGGACGTGGACGAGGACGACCAGCAGGCGGAGCAGGGCGGCGACGCGGGCGAGGACGAGGAGGACGAGGACACGGCACCGCGCCAGGCTCAACAGAAGAGAGCCCGGCGGGGTCGCGTCGTCGAGTCCGACGAGGAAGAGGAAGAAGAGGCAGAAGAGGGCAACAGCCCCCCCGCCGGCGGCGATGAGGACAGCCCCGCGGCGGCGGCGGCGGACGAGACCCTGCGCGACGTGGGCGATGAGGACGAGGACGAGTAGAAGAGATCCGTCGCCATCCGTCAACTCATCGTGTACAGTAGTGCGTCTTCAGGTATCTAGGGTTCCACGCGGGCGGCATACAGGTTGACCAGCAAAAGGGGGGGGGGCCGGTACGGGAATAGCGAATATCATTGTTCTTTTTTACCCAAAGTCATGATGCAGCGTTACAACGTGACATTGCCGTGAAGAGGTCTTGATGAGGCGTTCCAGCTCGACACACGGCGTTGCCACCGCAGACGCAGCCGTGCGGCGACGGAGAACAGCTCTACCCCCAGGTCTCTCGCTCCTCGCTCCCTCACACTACTCCTCCCGTCTCGACGATCCCGTTTACGTTTCTCTCGTCTATTATCCGCCCAGTTTTATCCTTCCTGTACAAGTGTATGTATGCTCTATGACAGGTCTGTGGGTGATGATACCAGCGGCCGTCGACCTGCCGCTGCACCACCAACACGCACGCGCATAACCGTTTACAACACACAAACGAGCCCAACGCCGCCCAGAGCTTTTCGGGCAAACGGGGTCCGGTTGCTGGCGTTTAGAAAGCAAAGACCTGGTCCTCGAGCTTGCTGACGGGGCGGGCCTTCTTGAAGCCGAGGCTCTCGGTGGCCTTCTTCAGGCCGCTAACCATGGGGGGAGGGCCACAGATGAGGACCTTGACGTCTTCGGCAGGCTTGGGGAGCCATTTCTGCAGGGCGATGGTGATTAGCGATGCCGGGATCAGATCAAGGGGTGCGAAGGGGCGCATCTTACGGTGATCATGTCGGCGGTGACGTAGCCAACGCCGCCGGTCCAGCCCTCGGGAGGGTTGTCCAGGACGTAGTGCACGCGGATGCCGCTGTCCTCCTTGGTCAGGGCGTCGAGGTCCTCGCGGAGGAGGATGTCCTGGGGGGTGACGTTGGCGAAGATGAGGTCGACCTCCGTGCGGTCACCGGCGGCGCGGCCGCGGACAATGGCGCGGATGATCTGCAGCATGGGGGTGATGCCGGTGCCGCCAGCGACCATGCCGAAGTGGCGGACCATGTTGGGGGTGTAGACGAAGGCGCCCTTGGGGCCGCGCACACGGATGGCCTGGCCGACGACGAGGGAGGCCATGTGCTTGGAGATGTTGCCCTGGGGGTACGACTTGATGAGGAGGTCGAAGAAGCCGGGCTGGTGGTCGCCCGAGATGGGAGTGTAGGAGCGGACAATCTCCTTGGTGCTGCCATCCGGCTGCTTCAGGGGGGCGCCAATGGAGATGTGCTGGCCGATCGGGAGGCCGAGGATGGACTGCGACGAGGGGAGCTTGAAGCGGTAGCTGGGGAATCCGTCAGCGACCGGGTTTTGCCAGCGCGAGGCCGCGCGAAGACGGGGAGGCCTTACATGGCGACATTGTGGGAGATGACGGTCTTTTCCTGGAGCTCAAACTCCTGGAAGACATCAGGCTTGAGGACCTTCTTGATCTCTGAAGAGATGGAAGCGGTGGTGTCAGCTGGTAGGCAAATTGACTGTTTTCCATGGAGTGGAGTCGTGTATGCGGAAGAGGCAACGCAAGGCACAGGAGGGCGGAGAGGGGGGACGGGCGCTGGGACTCACGGAAGTTCCAGAAGTTGTAGGCGCCGAGGACGAGGGCGAGGAGGATCGAGTAGGGCGCCCACTCCCGCTTGACGATGAGGGTGCCGACGACGAGCAGGGCGCCGGGGATGTAGACGTAGTCGATGTAGTGGCGGGCGAGCCAGGACGAGTCCTGAGCGGCGGCGGCGGCGGCGGCCATGGTGATCTAACTTTTCTTTTTTGTCTCCCGTGCGATCGTGCGGTGCGGTTCGGTGCGGTGCGCGGCGCGAGGGCAGCGGTCGTCGACGGGGCGGCGGCGGGCGGTCGGGACGTTGTTGTTGAGGGGGGGTGTGGACGTACGAAGTAGCTTTGGGTTGGGTTGAGAGAGGGACGACGAACGGAGATGCGACGTCGGTCGGGTGTTGAGTCCCGGTCCCGGTCCCGCCCACGCGACAAGAAAAATCCCCCCCCCCTTCACCTCCAGTTGGTAGGTGCCTGTGCCCTGCTTGGCCACGGGTCTTGCCGGCGGAGGATGGAGTGCTAGGTGCCAGCTGCCACTTGTGTGCCGGCCGTTTGGGCCACTGGAAAGTGCCAGGTGGGGAAGGCGGCCGAGAATTGGGGAAATTGGGCGATTAGATTGGCCCTCCTGACTTCTGGAAGGCGCCCAACCTCAGCCAAAGTTACAGAACCCAAGGTCGGAGCTACGAAGCGTTGCACGGACCGTCGCCGGACTTTGCTTGTTTGGTTCATCGACGAGAGAGCTCCCTGGTTTCTCACCAACTTTCGTCAAAGCATCACGAAGTGTCGGAGATGTCGCGTGTCTCGCCCGCCTGCCCGCCCGGAGCTTCCCTCGGCTCCATTCTGAAGCTCGTCCAGGCCCATGCTCAGCTTGCTCTCCCACATCAGAAACAGACACGGGGCGGTGACCAGGGGATGATGGTGGTGGTGGTTGACGAAGAGGACGCGGAGGAGGAGGCGACCTATGCGCTCATCATCACAGGCCACCGAGGGCCACCACCGCCACCGACCGGAACCTCCATTCGAACCCTCGCCCTCCCGCGCCGGTGGGTTTTCGATTCGACGTTCGATTGCGCGCGGCCCCGGCGCGGACACCGTAGCACCTACCAAGTAACTAACTTATATCGTACGTGTTGTGGTCTGTGCCCTCCAATCGGCTGACGGAGGGCGCGCCTTGCCTGTGCTGCCCTCCAGGACTTCAGCTGGCTGATCCGCCGGCCGTGGTCGGGCGCCGAAGGAAGGAGAGAGGCGACGGACGGAGTCTTGGGTCTGGTGCTGCAGGTTGACATCCGGTTTGTTGATGACTTGTTGCTGAGTTGACGTTCCACGGACCACTCGCTCGCCTGGTGGACCGTGGGCCGGTGTTACCAACTTGCCAACCTGACGCCTGCCTGGCCGGGCAAGGTCAAAGTATCTCGGCACTCTGCCTGCCTCAGTCCATTTATCATCAATGCGGGAGGGAGCATCACCCGAGCAGCGGCAGTGGAAAAAACGAAGCTAGCGACCAACCCAACTGACCTTGTTAACTGACCGACTGGCCGACAGCTGGCACGAGCCGGCCGGCCAGATGGGGCTCGGCGTTGCAGGTGCCGGGGCCTGGACCACCGCACCGGGCGGGGCGACGGACATTCCGCCGAGTTGGACAGCCCCAGGATGAAGATGAATGGCTGGGGCGGTAATAACGCCATCTGTGCGTCTCGGGTTTGCTTTGGGAATGGGCACGGGAAGGGCGCAGTAGTATGACCTCGAGGTGGCAAGCGAGCAGCAGCAGTCAGAAGCAGCAACACCACCACCACCACCACCAACTCGCCGCGCGGTGGAACCCCAAACCAGCGCAGCGCCGCCAACATGGACGCATGCAGCATCAGCTGCTACTAGTCGCCATCTACACACACCTCCTTCCTTTATCTGACCTACCTGACCGACCACTTGATCTGCTCAGCACGGCAAGAACTTGCAGAACTGTAGTACACATTAGTATTCCTGTGCCTTGGGCTAGGCGAAGGGCATCGGCGCCGGCGACCGCACCTTGCCCGAGTTGGTCGTCGTCGTCGCACCAAAACGCGAACAGACTACGAGATGCTGTACCTCGCACGGGCAAGTGTAGTTGATGGATCCCCCAAGAATCCGTCTGTACCACCACCGCTTATGGGTCAAGGTACCGTACCTTATGCCTCCGGTCCAGGCAACGCTCGAGGCAGCGGCCCGCGTTTACTAAACAGCGGCCCGCATCCGAATGTCGAGGGCCACCGGCGAGTTACCAAGTTGGTATGTAAGTGCAAGCTTTCGTTTTGTCAACGGAGGAAAAGACGAAGCCAAAAAAAAAAAAAAAAAAATCTTCCGAGAGTAGACTTGTGTCGTCGTCATCGCCGCCCTGCCCAGACCCAGCACGGCACAGCACAGCCCAGCCCAGCCGGCCGTTGCGAACCCTCCGCATCAATAGTACGAGCAGGTATGGTATCTCGGGCTCGTTCCACGTCCCTCTAACCCACGTACTTACACACACACATATACACATACATGCGTATATACATACATACATACATACATACGCGCGGCATCTGCGGCATCGCCGGCGCCCACCCTCCTCATCGCCCGTCGTATCCAGTCGCGGAGGCGCCTGATGAACGGCCATACGGGGGCCACCGCGGCGGCACACACGCACACGAGGTCATGCCGCCCGCCCTTGTGCGTCTGGGTCCGGGCCATGCGCGCACGTACATGTGCCGTGTTGCGTGCTGCGTGCTGCATGCTGCGTGCTGCGTCTCGCCTGCACCTCATTCACCCAGGTGCATTGCCGGCGCAGCGCACGCAAGCCATCCTTGTTGGAAGCGAGCAAAAACCAACAGAGCTACGAGTCTCTCTCTCTCTCTCTCCGCAGATGCGACGTGATTGCCAGCCCTGCCTTTCCCCGGGTCTCCACTGCAGCACTTCTCAGGCCATGTTCCATCTCCATCGCCATCGCCATCGCCATCAGTGCGCCGTGACGCGGAAAAGGTTCCACCGGAGGGTCAATGGCTGGTGTCCGGCGAGCTGCCGTGCCAAGGCATAAAAAAAAAGAACCACCATGGCGCGAGACTGGCGTTATGGGAACTCGGGGCTAAGCAAGCGTGAAAGCGAGCCAGATGGCATCGTCTCTTTGTTTCTTCCGTCTTGCTCTCGCTTGCCGGTTCAACGCCGAACCGGAGCAGAGTTTCGTGGCTCCGGGCCGGCGTCGTCAGCTTGGGGCTGGGCCCCCCGCGTCCTCGTACTTTGTAAAATCGTAGCTCACACGCTACTTGCTGGCGATGGGACACGGAGAGTGAGAGGGTGAAGAGAAGGAGACAGAGCCCCATCGGCCGGGCCAGGGCCTCCGCTATTGTTGGTGTTTCTTACCGGCAGCTTGGCACACTTGCACGCGGCGACAGCGAGTAACGCAGCCGCTCGTGTCCCCGTGATGATGGACTGGAGTCCTGGACCCTGATGTCGCACCGGGGAAGTGAGTCAGTTGCGTGTCCACCGCCCTGGGTTGGGTTCGTCGAGGCTCGCAACGAGTTACGAGACAACCGCAGCAGAGCGAGGACCCCTGCTGATATCCATCCATCCATCCACCTGGCTGGCTGGTCCCCTGGCAATTGCAACACACATCGTGGACAGCACCCAAAATACTTTTCGTACCAGAATTCCCCAGCAGAGAGAGAGATGCACACGCACACGCGGAGCAGCCCGCTGCGCCGCACGTCACGCCTTCGAACCTTGTGCCCTCTCCGCCGCAAGCCCGCCTCGTAAAACGCGGCCCGCGAAAGGCAAGCGACCAAAGTCCTCTGTAGCCCATGTCCGGCGGTTGATTGATTGGGCCTGGGCCCGTCACAGGCCTTTGGGGCACGCGGCGGAGCGGTTTGGGTTCCAGTTCTTGGCGACCCGCGGCCGAAGCAGCCTGGGTCGCTCGCCTCGTGCGGCAGGCTGCCAATGACGCGGATGGATCATGGACCATGGGCAAAACTGGCCAACGCGGGATGGGAATCAACTGGGGGACATGGGCTGATAACATCATCATCGATGTTTCGTCAGAGAAGGACGGGCGCCATCGTGCGTGCTAACCCACTCCTCGCTAGCATCGTGCTGTACAGTAGTGGCAGGAGCACCTAGCTCTCTCCTGCATCAACCGTCCCCTCCCCTCTTTCTTCGTCGTCTGAGGCGCCGCCGCCGCCGCCGCCCCTCCTTTTGGCGTCTGGTGCCTTTTCCATTGCCCTCCTCTGCCCTTGGTGCCTCCGAGGAAAATCGTCGAGAGCGTTGGAAAGCTAGAAAACCGGAGCGCATGGTTGCGGCGCCTTACCTTGCCTTGGGCCTCTTTCGGCCCGGCTGCATTGTCAATTGGCTTCCGAGGCAGGCGGGCCATTTCGCCATTGTGTGTCTGGGCCACCCTGGGCCACCCTGGGCCTGGCCTGGCCTGGCAAGCGTCGCGACGTACTCGTACGCAGACGCCGATGAGCGAGCGAGGGGAGCTGAGGCCGTTTCCAAACGTGCCCGCCCGCCCGTCCGTTGCGCATCGCCACCCCTGTCGAGCTGTCGGCCCGTGGAGCTGGCCGCGCCCACTCTCCACATCCATCCAGCACCATCGCGCACTCCATCGTACGTAGGAGCCCCCTGTTCATCCTGATCTGATGCCAGAGTGGAGGAGGGGCATGGACATGGGTTCATGGGAGGGAGGCCCAGCCGCCCACTGCCCACCACCACCCACCATCACCTTGTCACCCTTGGCGTTGAGGCTGGCGCTGGCGCTGCTGGTGGTGGTGATGCTGCTGCGTGCTGATGCCAGCGGCGCTCATGCTGGTCGTGCTGCCCCGTGCTGGTGCAGGAGGCGACTCTGATCCCAATCGTACTCCGACGACAGCAGCCAAGGAGACCTGTGCTCCCCCTCGCGGCTTGCAAATCAGATACCAATGCTACCTTGCTTCGTACATGATACGGCGCTCGCAACGACGGCGGCGGCGGGGGGGCCAGCGCCCGCGGGATACCCGGGCCCAACCCGGAACCCATGCGCTGCCATGGCAGGACCACCATGGGAGGACATGGCATGGCATGGCATGGCATGGCACGGCTTGGCTTGGCTCTGGCCGGGATGGCCTCCAAGGCGGCGCGCGCTGAGTGGAGGACATGAGATCCATGGGCCGCCCGATGCTGGCTGCTGCGCAGCGTCCGGCGGCACCTACGTAAATGTACGAGTACGTACTTTCGTACTTGGCTTCGCGCCATCGTATCGTATTTGCCCTTGTTTCCCATGATCCCCTTGCCTTGCCTTCCCTTTGCCTCGTCACCACCACCGCCTGCGTGCCTCCTCTTCCTCTTTCATCCTTTCAACTCCCTCCATCCCACGCCTCCTCTCCCTTTTCCCGTCTGCGTGCCTGCGGTTTCCAGGGCTGCGACGTCGCTTTGTGCTTGGAGCTGGGTGCGCCTCGTCCTTCGTTTCTGTACAACACTTACTTCCATTGTGCCTTGGTTGTGCCTGCAATCGCTGCGCCCGCACTCGCTGCGCTGCTGCCCGCCCGCACGCCTGCCTGGGTCGAGGGTGTTTCGTCCGACAGACGTCACGCCGCCAAAGAGCTGCACTGCACCGCACTCACTCACTGCACACACCACCCACCTCGCCTCCATCACAACCACCACCACCTCCTCCTCCACGTCCACCAAACGCCGCCGCCGCCGCCCGCCTAGCCGCTGCCACTGGCGTCATTTGCAACACCAAAAACCGATCCAAAACAGCGTACGTACGGCATTTTCTCTCCTCCTGCGCCCCCGCGGCCGCACACGATTTCCCCCGTCGGTCAACGACCGCTGCCGCAAACACGAAAGCGCAGCAACACAGCGAGCGAGCGAGCCACTTGGCGCACCAAAAGCTCCCGTCTGGGCAGTGAGTGTCGTTCGACCCTCGTTCCTGCCCCTCCAGCTGGTTGCCGGATTGGGCTGTCGACTGGAATGCGGCTCCCGCTCCCCTAGAAACCCGAAACCTTCTCTCGCCCAACTGCTCCCGCTTGTGTGCCTGCCCGCCGCTCGCACTTGGCGTCACCTTGATGAATGCGTAAACGCGCCGCCCGTCACTTGCCCTTGACCCCTGCAGGGCCTCAATTGCTTTCCCTTCGCGGCCAGCTTCACCTGCTAGGCGGCCGAGGTGGCTGCGCGAACCGGCCCGCCAACTCTCCGAGCCTCCCTGTTGTCCTCCCGAGCCCGGAAGCCCGGTCCGGAACGTGCGTTGTCGAGTCGATTCTCTCCGTCGAGAAGCATTCCCCTTGTCCGGCTAGGGAAGGTCGCGCGGTGCCTGGCATTGGCTCTCTGCGCACCGAACAAGAGCCCCGGCTAGAGCAGTCAATACCTCGGAGTGGAGCTGCCATCGTGAATCCGAGTGCAGCTGTCGACATCATCTGCCGTGCCCGCATTCATACACGTCTTTGACCACGCTGTGGCGAATTCCTGCCGCCCATCGTCGTTTCCAGAGTGACGCTTGCGGAGGGTCTCAGATATCAAAGGGCCTGGCTGCCACGCTTCCCGGCCCTGTACAAAGGCCATCCGTCTGTGGCTGAGACATTGCGTCAATCGACCTGCCACAGCAGCACCCGGGGGTTTCTGTCCCGACCGTTGCACTGTCGACTGGAGAAGACTCTTGCTCGCATTTCTTCAGCGGCTGACGTGACGTCCACCTCGCCATGACCTTCTAAGACCTCGTACGACAACATACACATTGCTTCGTCGCATATACCCCCCAGCTCGAGGCAACGACCTTCTGGCGCGACGCCTCGATTCGTATACCATGAGCGTCGAAAAGTGGAAGTGGAGGAGCTCCTCGGGCCTCGCCCTCGGTCAGGCCACCTCCCATCAATATGATTCCGAAAAGGCCATGATGACGGAGGCGTCCGAGAGCAAGGCTCCCCGGGTCCTCACGCGGGCTCTCCGCTCCCTCAGCAGCTCCTCCATGGACTCCATCGCTGCCAACTCGGTCAGAAGCTCATCCTCAACGCGCAGGCTACAGAAGACGCCCTCCAACTCCGGGTCCATGATTGGGCGACTGCACCGTCGCGTATCCAAAGACTCCGGAGGCCATGGGTCTCCCGCCGAGGCTCCCGGAAGTCCCATCGAGGGTCCGCAGCCATACTCGGCCATGGAGGTCGTCCACTATGGCCCCCTCAAGGCGGACATTTCGCTCCTCAAGGCACGGGCAGAGTACCTCGTCCTGTCGGATCACTGCTTGGTCAAGTTTATCACTGTCGACGCCGCTAGGAACGCCTTCCCTCAGCTAAGCCAGACCAAGCCACATGCAAAGGACGCAGGGCCTGTATGCACAGGCAAAACCTCGTCCGCCGATGTACGCCTGGACATCCCGCTACGCTCCATCGTCGCCGCCTTCAACGAGGATTCGGCCCACCATCGCTCCGGCATCGAGGTATGGTGGTTTTCCCAGTGGCCACGACTCGCCTACTGCAAAGCACATCTGCATTTCGCATTGCCAAAGGAGAGAGACGACTGGCTGGCAGCCATTCACCGAGCGTGTAGGGTGAGACTTCGAAAGAACCCCGCTGGCACTCTCATCCCCGAGAACCTCGAGACCCGCGTCAATCACATCGTTCGTTCGGTGGAGGGCATTGATGGAGAACATCAGAACCTCGTATTCCCCGTCGCGAGACGTGTCTTCGGACAGACTCAGAGGGCATCCAGCGCCGACGAAACCCACGACCACAACGACTCGTCGTCGTTTTACTTCATCATTGGACCCTGTATGTGCCACCTGATCGAGGTGCTCAAGGCCGACCACTCGACGCTCCCTGGCGACCTGCGAGTCAAGGCCGTCTCGTACGGCACCGTGACCCTCACGCGGTTCAAGGCCTCGGTGGCCTCGCACGAGCAGCGCTTCATCATGTGCTTTCGCTCACCTTTCGGCCGCGAGACTCGACTTGACCTGGCCAGCGTTCAGTATCGGCGTATCATCGAGGCGCTCATTAAGGCCGACCGCAACCTGAAGCCGATGTGGCCTCAGTCCCTGCAGCACACCATTTTTGAGGTCAAGGGTCTTCCGCCCCCTCTTCAACTTACCAAGGGCAACGACCTTGGCGGCCTCGAAAGCAGCCTCCAGGCATACTGTGCCGCATACCAGGTCCAGGTGCCCGCGTGGAAGATTGAGTGGAATGCCCCGCCGCACCCCGCGTTTCGCCTGCTCCCCCCTGATGGCGCCGCCTACTCACCGTTGCAGCTGCTCGCCGTCTTCCGCGCGCTGAGATACAACAGCTTCTTCAAGGCACTCTCCTTTCGCGATGTTGACCTGTCATCGCTTGCTGGCAAGAATGACTATTCCCAGTATGGAGACGGCGTGGCGTACAGATCGTTGAGTTGTGAGCAGCCCCTCATCAGACTCCGCCGCCCCAGAAATATACTGATGAGTTCTAGCTATGACTATTTCGGAAGATCATCATGAGATCCTTCTCCAGGCGACCATCCTCGAGCAGGAGATCCATGCGCTGACTTTCACCTCCGAGTCTATTCGGAGCATCGACCTGACCAATACGCTCGGGCTGCAGACCAGCCAGAGACTGAGCCGCTTGCAGTATGATCATGAGGCACTGTGCAAGAAGAGCTCCGAGTTGTTGAAGCCTATCTTGATGCTTTGGAGGCTGCAAATGTCCGTCTGCCAAGGCATTTCCATGTCCGGCAACCCCATCTCTCTGGGCGACATGGACGAGCTTGGTAGGTCGAACCTTCGTCGGGGGAAGAGGATTGTGTGCTAACTGGTTCTAGCAAATCTGCTGGCGCTGGACTACGTGCACATCAAGAAGCTCCACCTGGCGAAATGTGCTCTCGGGGACGCTGGATTGTCGCAGCTCTGGGGAGCCTTGGGTAGCCAGGCTTACTCCTTGGAGTGCCTCGACACTTCGGATAACCAAGGCATTGTCCGATTTGACATCATTCAGAGAGCCCTCAAGAAGCTGCAGAGATTAGTCTCGCTCAACATCGCCGGAAACACACGTATCATGTCGGATGCGTCACTATTCGACGGCGAGACAATCATGAAGTGGGCACTCCAGGATCTGAACCTATCTGGAATCATGGTAAGTGCGGCGGCGATAGCTCTGAAAGAATGAAAGCTGACTTGCCTCCTAGCTCAATGATGCCACGGTGGACGTCCTTGCTGCTTACCTGGGCACTTACAACTCGCATGGTCTGCAGCTCGTGCGCCTCAACAATTGCGGCCTGACCGGGAAGCAGATCTCGCGTCTTTTCCGCAGTATGGGGCAAGCGCGGCGGCTGACCATCCACCTGAACGGGAATCGCTTGGATGAGGGCATTGACGACCTCTGCAGTGCAATTGCCAACGGCTATGGGCCCTGGAGCGTGTTTCTGCAGATGATCGAGTTTGCCTCTGAGGCCAACTACATCAAGCTGTTGCGCGCTCTGACGGTGAATAAGACCATCGAATGCCTCAGTCTGGCCGGAACTGCCACCCCTGACTCGGCAAGCGGAGTCGCCTGCCAGGCCGTCTCCGAATTCTTCTCGAAGAATGACACTGTGCGATTCCTGGACATATCCGGGTACGATTCAAAGCTGGACGAGGGCCGACTTGGCAGAGAATTCTCCAAAGCCTTGAGTGGTATGCGATCAAACACGCGCATCGAGCACCTCCGAGTGCGAAGCCAGATGCTGAACATCAACATCGGAGACCTTGCCGAGGCTATTTCCGGCAACAAGGCTTTGCATACGCTTGATTGTGAAGGAAACGACTTTAACCTGTCAAACTTTCGCCACCTTATCAAGCACCTGGAGGACAGCACCACGATTCGATACTTCTCGGCATTTTCGGCACAAGAGCTGTCCCGTGCGATCCGCAAGTCCGTAGAGACAGCAGGCGCACCTACACCAATTATGCGGCGGTCATCCGTCATGGCGAGATTCCGGTCCGAGAAGGTCCAGCCCGGAACCGGAAAGCCGCTGGTGCAGCAGCTCAGAGATGAGTGGGATGCCGCAGTGGCCGATTTGGAGCGCGTGCTCCAAAGAAATCAACAGATACTGCTTGACAAGGAGGAATCTGATGATGAGACTGTGATACAGTTGAGCGGGAGACTCGGCGAGGTGGAGAATGCCTTCTCGGAAGCCTTCGGAGGACTCGCACGTAGGGAGTTCGAGTCCCGAAGAGCCAAGAGCTCGCAAGGATCTGCTTCTCCTCAGCGTCGCCACATCTCGGTATCAGCGCACCCAAGCTCAACCGACATTGTCGGACAGAGCATTGCCCGACCTGTGTCTACGGTCTCTAGCGAGGTGGCCATCAGCCCGACCACGGATGGGGCGAGCACGGGCGGCATCCCGAGCCCGCCTGAGCTGGAGAGCCCGTCGGACAAGGACTTTAGCCTTGCAGACGTGCAGAGAGCTCTGGCTGCGTTCGGGGCGTATGGGGACGCCCGAGACAACAACTACACATATTCGGAGGCGCCAGACGCCGACGGAGGACTACAGATGAAGAGATTCAGACGATACTGGGGTAGCACGACTACCCGGATTGACGAAGAGGATGGAGGGACGGGTGACGGGGCAGAAGACGAGTCACCCTGAGATATGGACTGACTGTGACATGGTGCTTGCATTTGAACGGCTCATTGGTTGGCGAGGCGTTGGATGCGTTGATTATCTACCTGCTTGAGACGACGGCGTTGGCTGGAGGCGGTGATGGGAACGATGGCTTTTGGCTCGATACCCCTGTGTGAATACCAATTGAAGATTTTTTGACTTGTAATGAAGGGCGGATGAGGTCCGCGGTGCGCCATGTCGTCGCGTGAGCAAGCAATTCGACCTGCGCTAGAAATTGGAAGCGGGCTGATACTGGTTGACTGCTGTTAGTGTAGACCGGATGCGGTGTGCCGCCCGACGCGGTGGAAGGTATTCCCACTTACACGGGGGCGGGTGGTAGGTACCTTCACCGAACAAGCACCTTCGCTTAATTGCATAAGGTGTCGATGACGGGGGAGCAAAGCCACAGCACTGCTGGTGGGGTCAGGGGGTACAGAAACTGGGGCACAAGCCACGCAATTTACTCGTACAGCGCTCGCGTCGCTGTTAGGCTGGCGCTCTCACCTCATCAGTGGCCCGACGAAGCCTAGCGCTGCCCGCCTGCCTTGTTCCTGTCTGTTGCAGCGCTGCAGCCGGGGCGCAGGTTGAGGCATCCATTCATCAACTCCGGAGGAGCTGGCGGAAGCCTCGTCATCCTCTTCCTCTCGCCCACCAACCACCTCCCACCCGCCCCCGACCTGCATTCACGCGAGCAGCTCCCGCTCGCGCGCTCCGTTTCGCAGGGCCATTCAATTGCAGCTTTTGCAATTTTCCTTGACGGCGTGTATCAGCTCGCTGCCACAACCTAACGCACCACAGCTCGGGCGGGTGCTTGATTGCAGCAGCAGCAGCTCCGGCTCTCGTCGCCCCAAGCACGTCGGTGCCACGCGGCAAGCACATAGCTGACGTCTGAGCTCCCCTGGCGGGCTCTCGCGCCGACCATGTACTCCAACTCGAGCGCCTTCCTCGGAGGAGGCAATAGCCAACGCCCCGGCGGCGGCCAGCAGCAGCAGTATGGTTTCAACGCCGGCATGGGCGGAGGCCAGCAGCCGGCGGGCCAGCAGCCCGGTCCGTTCGCGCCGCAGCCGACGGGCTTCGGCCAGCAGCAGCAGCAACAGCCGCTTCAACAACAATATACCGGCTTTCCGATGCAGGCTCAGCCGACGGGCTTTGGACAGCAGCCGCAGCAGCAGCCGGCGCTCCAGCAGCAGTATACCGGGTTTCCGACGCAGAGCCAGCCCCAGCAGAACTTCCAGACAGGGGCTCCGCCGATGCCCGCCATCCCGCCGCAGTTCCAGCAGCAGTTCCAGCAACAACAGCAGCAACAGCAACCGCAGCAGCCCTCGTCGTTGCAGCCCCCGCAGCAGACGGGCTTTTCCTCGTCGCCGCAGCAGTCGTCGGGCCCCTCGCAGCCGCCACCCCCTATGAAGCCGCAGGCGACCGGGTTCTCCGCCATGGCGGCTTCGTTCCACACGGGCTCCGCATCGCGGCCCCAGGAGCGCGTGCCGGAGTCGAAGAAGACGAACAAGATTCCCAACATCAGGCTGTCGTTCATCACGGCGCAGGATCAGGCCAAGTTCGAGACGCTCTTCAAGTCTGCCGTCGGGGACAAGTCCACGACCATGTCTGGCGACAAGGCTCGCGATCTGCTTCTCCGATCCCGGCTCGACGGCGACTCCCTGTCCCATATCTGGACTCTCGCTGACACTACTCGAGCCGGCGAGCTGTACTTTCCCGAGTTCGCGCTCGCCATGTACCTTTGCAACTTGAAGCTGACCGGAAAGTCGCTGCCCTCCACTCTCCCCGACAACATCCGCAACGAAGTTTCGAGCATGGTGGATATTATTGGCTTCAGCGTAGTCGAGGACGGGCCATCTTCGACAACTCCCACGCCCGCGGGCAATGCACCCAACTTCAGGGCTGGCAACGCCTCTCCACCGACTATTCAGCAGCCCCAGCCCCAGGCGTCAAACTCACAGATTCTCCAGTCGCAAATGACAGGCTTCCCAGGGCAGCAGACCGGCTTTGGCGGCCAGCCCCAAGGCTTCCAGCCTCAGCAGACCGGATTCCAGGGCATGCAGAACCCGCAGCCAACAGGTTACGCCGGGCCTCGCCCACCGATGCCACCGATGCCGACAGGATTCGGTCAGCCCCCCTCGGGTGGTATGGCGGCTCCCCTCAACGCTCAGCCTACAGGACGTCCCGGGCAGTGGGGTCTCGTTAACGCGCCGTCCACCGGTCTCCCGAACATCGACGCTCTCCAAGCCCGCATGATGCCCCAACAAGGTCGCGAGGCTGGCTCGTACACGACTCAGGGCCTGCAAGGGAACGCCGTCATTCCTTGGGCCATTACGAAGGAAGAAAAGACCCGATACGACTCGCTGTTCAGGGCTTGGGACGGTCTGGGCAAGGGCTACATCGGTGGTGATCAGGCTATTGAGATCTTCGGCCAGAGTGGCCTTGAGAAGCCCGACCTCGAGAGGGTTTGGACTCTCTCGGACAATGGGAACAAGGGCCGCCTGGACCTCGACGAGTTTGCCGTTGCCATGCACTTGATTTACAGAAAGCTCAACGGCTACCCACTTCCAAACACCCTGCCTGCCGAGCTTGTCCCACCTTCGACAAGGAACTTTAATCAGTCAATCGGTACGCTCAAGAACATGTTGAACCAGGAATCGGATTTCCGAAAGAACTCCGGTGCTGCGCTGCTGCCGCAGAAGACCGGAGTGAGCTACATGAAGAACCGGTCGTTCAGGGGCGGTGCTGGCTCCGCAGCCGCTGCGCGGAAAGATGCCACTGTCTTCCGCAACGACGACGAAGACTTTGGATACAGGTCCAGCGCGCGTCGCAGGATGGGCGATAGCTCCGTCCGTTCCGACTCCCCTGCCTCGGTTGCGTCCAGCGATGACTTGTCCTTGGATCAGCTCCGCAAGAAGATCAAGGAGAAGCAAGTTCTCCTCGATGCCATGGACTTTGCTGATGAGAAGAACAACGAGGAGGACGATATTTTGGACAGGCGCGACCGTCGCGAAGCTGAGGAGCTGTACCGCCGTATCAGACGCATGCAGGGCGATATCGATGCGCACCCCGACGCCGCACTCGCCAGTGGTGACTCGGACGCTGAGCGGCGCGCGTTGAAGCGGCAGCTCCAGAACCTCACCGATAAGATCCCCGAGCTTGCCTCCCAGGTGCGCAAGACCGAAAAGGCGATCATGGAGGCAAGACTTGAGCTCTTCCGCCTCAAGGATGCCAAGGCGCACCCCAGCAGCGGCGCTCCGATTGTTGGTACCGGTCCCGGAGGTGCCGTGACGGAGTCGGATCGCCTGAAGGCAAGGGCCAAGGCCATGATGCAGCAGCGAACTGCTGCCTTGACTGGCAAGAAGGTCGACGTCGGACCTGAAGATCATGACGCGCCCAAGCGGCTGGAAGAGGAGACGATCAAGGCCAAGAGCGAGAAGGAGGCCAACGAAAGCATGGTTCGCGACGTCGAGGAAAGCGTGCGCGACTTTGCACGTGGAATCGAGGACAGCCTCAAGGACGGTGGCAAGGACAACACGAGCGAGCATGAGAAGCGGCGCTGGGAAGATGGCCTGGGGGTGGAGGATGAGGTTCGAGACTTCATCTTTGATCTTCAAAGGGAGAGCCGAGCTGCGCGTCTCCGCGCTCAGGATAAGCCAGCAGCCTCCCGGTCGCCCGCCGCAGCCGAGCCACCGCGACCCGAGCGCGTAGCAAGTCCGCGCGGCGAGATCGAAAGCCCATCGTCAACGTCTCGCACGGCCACACCACCCGCCGCCGGTGGGTCGTACGCATCCTACAAGACTCCGGAAGAGCGTGCCGCGTTCATCAAGCAGCAGGCCGAGCAGCGCATGGCTGAACGTCTGGCCGCTCTCGGCATCAAGGCCCCGTCGAAGTCGGGCGAAAGCGCCGCTCAGCGTGCCGAGCGCGAGAGGGCAGAGCGCGCAGCTAAACTCCGACAAGCTGAGGAAGAGGACTCGCGTCGGGAGGCCGAGCGTCAAGCCCGCCTGGCGGAGGAGCAGGGCATCCCTCCTCCGGCCCCTGCCACGGAGGCGTCGCAAGGCTCCGCGAAACGGCCGCCGCCGCCTCCGACCAGGAAGGGCGCCAAGGCTGAGACCGACAACGCAAAGAAGGCCGAAGACGAGCAGGCCATACGTGCTGCTGAGGAGGCAAGGCTTGCCGAAGAGCACGAGAAGCAACAGCGTGAGACGCAAGTGATGGAGTAAGTTACATGGTGTTCTCTACGTGAATATGACGGGTGACTGATTATGCTCTCAGGGAAACGGCTAAAGAAGCGGAGGACGAGTTTGAGAAGGAGCAAAGGGAAGCCGCGGCCCGCCTGAAAGCACTCGAGGAACAGGTCAGACAGGGCAAGCTGAGGAAAGAGGAGGAAAAGAAGAGGAAGAAGGCCGCCATGGCCGAGGCCAAGGAGAAGGAGGCCAAGATGGCGGCTCGACGTGCCGAGATTGAGGCCGCCAAGAAGCGTGAGCTGGAACTTCAGCGCCAGCTGGAAGCCATGAACGACGACGACTCTTCCTCGGACGACGAAGGCCCGGAACAGATCACGCCGCAGGAGTCGACCCCGACGCTGGGCGGCAGCCAAATCAGCCACCACGAGCACGAGCGAAAGCCTAGCCCTCCGCCGGCGATCCCGGCCACATCTCCGCCTCCCCCGGCGGTCGTCACCTCGCCGCCCGCAGAGACTGAGAGCAAGAACCCGTACTTCAAGATGATGTCGCAGGCATCGGAGGCGTCGTCGCCAGCAGTTTCTACGGACGCTGCCCCGGTGACGCGACCGCCTGCTCCCGCGGCGGATCCATCTACAAACCCGTTCCACCGCATGACACAGGAGAACAAGGCGCCCCCTGCACCGACAGGGCCCATCACGAGGAAGCGCGCTGACTCGGAGGACTGGGGCTCAACCAAGGACGACGATGAGGACGATTCGGACGATGACCGCCCGGGCGGCGGCAATGCAGCTCAGCTTGCCT